CTAATGTTGACTTTCTTTTTTTTTCCTCAATGGTCTGAAACTTCAAGGTTGAAGATAAAATATCGTTTAATCTCTCAGTACAGATCAGCAATTCATATACGTGTGATATCAGTTTACTCAATCATCCGTTGAAAATAACAATGATTTTGAAGTTATAAAATCCACGGTGTCTCAAATAGTTGAACTCCATATTATGAATTGATTTTGACTTGAAGACAGTATTGGACCCTACTGGAACTCTTCATATCAAAAAGTTTCTACTGAACTAGCGTCCCTTAAAAAAACCCAATAGTTTGCGATAAATCATTAAGTATACTTGTTTAGAACGGAACCGTGCTCCAAATACAATTTCCATAGTTAATTCCGAATAAGCGATGATGTCATAAATGAATGCTCGGAATAGGTATTAACCTTTTTGCTATCAACATGTTGATCCCATTAATTGTAACCGACTTCACAAACAAGCTAATTAGCATTAATTTATTTGCGTTCCAATTTGACCCTAACGATTTTTTCTGATGACGTATATATAATAAATCATTTACATACGTGATAAACCACAAATTATTTCTATATAATGAGCACTACGAATTGTTTTAATTCAGTTGTAATCAGAAAATCAAGTCGACATGTTGCTCAACTCAGTTGTCATTTTGTTTGCCGTCTTTGGCGTCCCATGTACGTACTGACATAATTTATCCTTCTAATTTAGATTCAAGATAAGTTCAGTACATCCGAACAGTACCACTAGATAGTATATATGTCACGTTTTCTAAAATCGTATTGTTTCCTTTTCAGGTATCTACGCGATCCCGATTGACAACGATTATGATGAGATACTCAGAGAGTTAGATGAGATTTCAGAAGAAATTGAACAAGTCTACAAACTTCAAGGTGACATTCATGGAGTAGTATCAATCCAAGCTGAAAACACGTATAGCGGCAATTACAAAGGAAAAGTCCATTTCGGTGATATACTTCACCAGACCAACAATAAGTACAGCGGTGACGTAACTCGCGATGTCCAATATGGATTAAATACAATCCAAAGTGGTAATAACTACACAGCCAATATAGACGGTGAAGTTCAATATGGACCTGACGTTCAGCAACATAACAACCATTATAACACCAACGTTGTCGGTGAAGTCAGTTTCGGAGCTACAACTCGTCAAAGTAATAATACCTACAACGGATATCTAACCGGCATAATCAATATCGGACTTTCGACAAACCAAACTGGCAATGCTTATCTAGGCACGATAACCGGAAACGTCAGTCACGGATCGACAACCTCGCAGATTAATAACACTCATCTGGGTACTGTGGAAGGCAAAATCAATCATGGGGCTTTGACCAACCAAGCTGGAAATCTTTATACGGAATATGTAAATGGGGATGTTTCTCTCGGATCCTCAACCAACCAACTCAATAATACCTACGAGAACAGTGAATCGGGAGAGATAAACTATGGTTCTCGTACCAATCAAAATAATAACGATCATCGGTATGATGTAAATGGTATTGTGTATCACGGATCTAGGACTGTCGCATATAACAATACATTCGATAATAGTCAAGACGGTACAGTTGACCATGGATCTGATACTCGTCAAGATAATAATTCGTACGAAAAGTCTAGAGCCAATAAAAATATTTTTGGATCTATAACAGATATACAAGAAAACAAAGACTTAACGACCAGCGAATCTTCCACGGAGAATATTAAAGAATAGCAGATACTATTCTAGTTATAATACTATAATTAATACTATCTAGATATGGTAAAAATTTTTACCATCAATTCGATAGTAGTGAATACTTTCTAGATGATTGTAAAAATTGTTTAATTTTTAGGTGTAGCGTATAATTTTGGCTGATGGTGATGTTATTTATATTTTAAATAAATCGTTAAGAATCGTACTACTTTCTTTGATTTTACCAAATATTTTCACATAGTAGGGCTCCAATATATTCAAGGCTATGGTACCAAGCCCGGAAACTATGGGAGGAGTCGGAAAATAAGTAGCAACTTTTCTGTCACAGTTAAAGCAGTAGAGTTACAGTCTGTTTTGTAATTACGGAGATTTCAAAATGGTAGAAGCAGATGAATATATCCACTATCATGGCTAAACGATTACTTTATCTTATAAAGGACTGAGACTCAGAAAAATTAAATAATTACAGATGACTCTGTCTAAAGTTTCTAAGATAACGTTGTTAAAGGTTGCTAAAGTATTCTCCTACTCTAAATCTTGGATAAAGTATGAAAATCGAGAGACTTAGCGCACATTCCGAAAGTATAAGAAAATTCATGATTTCCATTGCGCATCCAGAATGCGCATCAGTAAAGAAGTATGTACGGTCGGTATCAGAGAAATTTTAGACAACGGTCCTGTACCGAGGAAGAAACTTTAGACAGAGCTGACTTTAAGTGGCCCTGAATTAAGTTACTGAAGAAAATATTTCAGTATAAATGATTTTTAATGATGAATTAAATGATATCTAGAGTAACATTAAAAGCATTTTATTCACTAATTTATTGAATACTCTAATAGCTTTTCAAATTGTCCACAAAAAATGTGTGAGTGGTAAAAAAAAAATATTTTAGTGCAAACGTAAAGCAAGCTTAAAAATTTACCGTAGTGGTTTTAAATCCATAATTTGAAAAGCTATTAGAATAATCCATCAAGTATAAAATCATTCGTTTATAGATCATACTTTAGACACAATTAATTCATTACCCAGAATCACGCCAAGGTATTTTGGAACCCCAGGTAGCTCGGTTACTAATGAATTTCACCAGAGATAAAAAAATTCCGCTGAAACAGGGAATTCTGAATAGAAGACCGGGGAAAACGGTTTAGATCTGACCAGATATAATTATATCTGGTCAGATCTAATTACATCTGGTCAGATCTATTTATATCTGATCAGATAAAAACAGATATAACTATATCTGAGTTGAAAAATACATCAGACATGATCATATCTAGTCATATCTGATCAGATCTAAACAGATATAACTATATCTGAGTGAAAAAATACATCAGACATAATCAGATCAGCGTATATTGATAATTAATAATTTCCAGTAAATTTGATAAAAAACTTTGTTTATTACGCATCGATCATGGACACGATTCACATTACTTGTACCCGGGAAAAACAGATTAGATCTGGCCATATATAAACAGATCTGGCCAGATCTGCTAAGGCTATTAACTATAGTTATTACAAACTCTACCTACTCTCGTTTCAAGCAAGTCTCGTTGGTAAACAGGTAATGAATTAGTCTCTCAAGCGTCAGGTCCCAGGTTCGGTTCCCGTGCGCGCCGATTTTTTTTTTTTTTTTAATGAAAATAATTCTATATAATTATATATAGCTATTTTTCGTATATAATTATGTATGAGTATATATAATTATATATAATCATTTTTACCTGGGCCATTTTTTAATTTGACCAGATCTGGTCAGATCTGATTATATCTGGCCAGATCTCGTCAGATAGAGACAATTTAAAGATCTGCCTTAGCAGATCTGGCCAGATCTGTTTATATACGGCCAGATCTAATCCGTTTTTCCCGGGAACGTTTTTCAAGAGAATAATAAATTAAATAAATTTACAGAATTTACATGAAATATAATTTGAGCCCAATATAAAGGAATTATGAAAAAAAATATAAAAAAAACAAGTTTCATGATTTTGAAAAATTTATCATTTAATATCGATAAAATGTTTAAAAAATGCAAAAAAAATTTTTGTTATTCACTCTTTCAATGAGATGATCTATCATTAGCTTTTAATTTAATCAACTATTAAAAAACTATTCGTCTAATACGACATAATAAATGACGGATAATTTTTTTTTCACTCAAAAAAAATTCTTGAACCAATAAAATTACTTTGACGAGTTTTACTGTTATATCTTGAATCAAGACGAATGATTCTTGAATCAATTAAAATTATTTAAGCCAAGAAAAATTTCCGAATTCAAACATTTTTCTACTTAAACCAAGATAATAAAGTTCTTCGATATGACTTTCTTGCTTCAAGAACTTTTCTTTTGAACCAAGTCGATTTTATTTCCAGTGTTTGAAAAAATATGTAAAAATTAAAAATATTAATAAAATTTTACCTTCTATTCTTAAATATTGCTTGATATGACCACATCAACGTATGTCAAAAAATTTTTCACAAATTTTTAAGTAAACGTCAAAAAATGTATTTTTCATCTCTTCATAATACACATAAACGTATTCATCTAAATATAAATATCTTATAATCAACAAGTTAAACCGAAATCCACCAGTCACACGTTACACATATGTGACAATCTAAAGTAACTGAAAGCGATTCAGGTTATTTGTAGCGCGCTCACATTATTTCTTTCATGCTATCTTAAACAAAACAAACAACTCCAGTAAGCAAATTATCTTCATATTCATACAGCTCCTGTTAAAAGCAGAACTCAAAATTCCAATTTTAAAAGGTTCCTCACGGAAATTGAATTTTGGCAAACCCTACTATACATACTGTGTAGTAATTTTTTTTTTTTTTCGAATTTACGCAATTCTTTTATCGTAACGAATTGATGCGCATTCTATCAATAGTACATACTTTCTTCTTCTGCTAGAAACGTTTCGCAATCTCATTTAGTCGTTTCATGACTACATTCATCCAGATGATAGAATAAGATTCCTTTCTACGAGTTGATGAACGAGAGCTAGACTAAAAACTAAAAGGAAGGGACGGTACAGGAATTCACTCCACCCCTAAATCGTGACTCACAGAGTCATATTACATACCACCATTGCTTCTATCCCCACTCACTCCCGGAAAGAGCTTTCCAGATCCCGATCCACTCATGGCTTCCCTTCAGAAGCTTTCAATTGGTCCCTGGGTACACATACGTCACACAAGGAATCTTATATAAGCGTCTCATTGTCTTCGATAATCTCATTTCAGTTTTCGTGGGTCATAAAGTGAGGGTGAATAATGTGGCTTCCGAACGAAATCATTATGCTGTTGTTAAAAGCTCCGGTTATTTCATTCATTTTGGCAGTTGGAAGTGGATGTGAGTATTTATAGTATAAAATATAATTAACGTAGTGCTTTATAGTTTGGTAATGCCATGAATTCATTTTTCAATAATGTTCAGACATTATTTTCATTAATGTACAGAATGGCTTTATATGGATTGTGAAAATTATATTTACAAAATAAAATATGATTGAGATTCTTGATAATTTATAAATTTGATACTAAAATTTAACTAATTGTAAGTGATACTAAAATTTGCTGATACTATCTACACGGTATTTACGCTATTATTACTTTATGTTTCAGTGTCTTCAAATGGCGGTTCTAATATATTCGTGGATGCAAACCCCGCGCAGTATATAATTCTTGAAATAAATACGGATTCAAAGAAAGAAGTCTATCTGGTTCAATTTGCAGACCAACCTCAATCTCCGAAGTTTCATGACTCACATCGACAGATAACTTCTAATATTATCGAAGGAGATGACGACATTCGGCACAAAAATTCCAATATCATCGAAAAAGATGATGAAATTCGACAGGTAAAATTGCATATTTTCGGAACAAATAACGGCGATCGACAGAAAAATTCCAATATTATCGAAAAAAATGACAACATTCAACAGATAAATTCCAAAATCATCGAAAGAGATGACAACAATCGACAGATATCAGATACCTTCGACAGTAACGACATGAGTAATCAGGCTGATTCAAAAGGCACTATTGATGATGGATCGGTTACGATACAACACGAAAATATCGATAGGCAGATGAATTCATCAGGAACCAATAAATACGGATCAGACACTGAACAAAACAACAACATTCATAAAAACTTTAACGGAACAGGAATAAACTCCTTTGGTTCAAACACCATTCAGTTTGAAAATACCCATTACAAATACAATTCAACTGGTAATAATACTTACGGGTCTGTCACGAAACAAAATAACAATGTCTACGACGGGACTAATTCAACAGGTGACAACTTCTATGGATCAAGTACTCTTCAAAAAAATAATGTCTTCATTCAAACAAATTCAAGTGGTAGTGATTCATATGGATCATACACCGAACAAAATAATAACACGTATGGAGGATCTAATTCCAAAGATGGTTCTATCTATGGATCAAACACAATTTTAAAGAAGAACAGATTTAACAAGAAAAACTCTCGTGTTAAGATCAATTGGGGATCAAAAACTAATCAGACCAACAATAAGTATTGATAAAGGCTGATTTAACAGTATTCATCTGATGATCATAAAGTAACGGATCTCGGACGACGCCACAAATTTTTGCTGTTTAACATAGTGTTAAGCTCTTTTTAATTACCAAAGCTGTATTTCATAAATAAACGTATTTTATTGTAAAAATTTCAGGCATTTCTTTTCGATTACCCTTTATGAAATTATAAGTAAAGTTACTATGATTAGGTTGAAACCGATTGCCTTCCTTCTGCTCTCTCTTCAAATTATATGAGCTAAATATTGCAGATGAATAAATAATTAAATCAGACAGATTAATTAACAAGAAGAATGTAAATTAGTGCCCATCTGCACTTAAAACATTTTTAAGATAGTTCACTCACGACATAGTTCGTACTATTTTTTCCCTTTTCACTCGATAGTTCTACCTTTCTCACAGATTGTTTCTTATTCGCTTTTACTGATGGTTATTTTTGTAGAAGTAGTCAGTGTAATGATAATTTCTAAAAAAAACAACACGGTCAGAAGATTTAAAATTTTTTTTGGGTTATTCTAAGAAAATTATTATAACAGGTTTCAGTTTTTTTGACCGATCGTGAAACTTTTTTTAAGAGTGCACTACCTTAAAGATACAAATCAGAAATAATGCGAAAAATATGATAATTTCTCTAGATAGAACCATCTCCCGATTACCTAGTAACAGTAGGATCTACATCGACGCATAGTAACGACTTTTAGCCTCCACCAGAATGCAGCCACGTGACATTCCCACGTGATGCTAGTTTAAAAATACAAACACATTCGTACAGTCAATTCCGAAAAAAATATAATTCTAATTGAGTCTCATGAACTCACATCACGTGTTATGTACACGAGGAATGTAAAATGCTTACTGGAACTAATCATTCGATGCCAATGTTCCAGGAAACATCACATCAATGACGGTTATATCTTCTATTGACCTTCAAATATGACGTGGCAGTAAACAATTTGGGTTTATAATAAGAAAAGTGCCTTTCTTCTATAAACTTTTTTGAGCGTAGGAATTAACTACATTCAGTAAGAGCCCTGCAAACAATATTTTGATCAAGATTTATACGGCGGAAGATTAGCTCCACTTATTCCAGCTGTTTGTTGGGATGGTATCCAATTTCCGAAAGAGGGGAACTGCCAATTACCTGCTGGTAATGCTGAAGGCGAAAGAATGTACAATATCTACCACTTTGATCTGCATCGTGTCGATCCTTGAGAGATTGAAGTATTTACATTATCAATATTGTGATTTTCATTAAGTAGGAAATCTACTTCCATTTTTGCTGCTGAATGTCACTTTTTTTAATGTATAGTCCCATATGACAATTAGCAACAATCAAGCTATAATAAGATACTCATGTCTACGTCGCGTCAAGCATGAAAATTAGTTCTACGTAGCAATTTTTCCGCGAAAAAAATAATTGATTCTAATTTTTGTACTAATTACTCAAGTAAGAAACTCATGTTCATCATCGATTAGATGCCAACAAAGTAAACCACATGCTAACATGATTCGCATTGTTTCAATCTATGAGAAATACTGATTTTTTTTGGCGAGAGTTGTCTCTTTTATACAGTATACGTCATGAAAATATCAGTGTCACAGCCTGAACAAAGGTCATGATATTATTGATCGTTGATAAATGACTCTGCTGCGAATATTTTGTGTTTATTCCGAGAAATTCCGAAAAACAAGCTGAGTTTTCCTGTTCATCGAGACCTTATTCAGTCCAGTTCAGTTCGGTTTTGATTTAAAATGTTTGATTGGCTGAGAAATACAACTACGTCACACAAGTTCCTATATAAGCGGCGACAGCGATCGATGCTTCACAGTTTCGTCTTCAGCGTTACCGCAGTAGCACATACAGCAAGATGTTCGCTAAATCCACTATTACCCTTTTTGTTCTTGCCGTTGGATTATCTTGTAAGTATACAAATTGAAAATAATAGTTATCTTTTTTTTCAGAATGTAAAAGATATTTACTAGAGTAGCCTTATGATATTTTAATTTTTAAATATTACATATAGACAATTTTGTTATTTAAATATTAGCGAATAACTTTAAAACTATTACGTCGTGTCATTTAGAGGATTTGCGTGAATTCTACAAGTGCTATTTATAATCGTAACATCTGAGTTACCTAAATATATGTTATTTTCCAATATATTGACTCGAATTTCAAATTTTATAACAGAGCACTTATCTTGGCTACGAGGTCAATCATAAAATTCTTTTTGTTTTTTTTTGTTACAGCATTACTGAGTGGAAACTCTATTGGGTCAGCAAGTGCATATCCCCGACCGGACGAACCATCAATGAACATAGATTTAGATGATCCTAATGACGTAAAACTCTTTGAAGACCTCAACCATATGAGAGAAGGAAACAATTTTGGTGCCCTAACTGTTCTACGCAATAATGTCATTCAAGGAAGCAACACGACAGGTGAAAATCACTTGGGAACGGAAACTGATCAGATACACATCATGGTCGGGGGAAAACTTCCGGAAGGTAGACATACTTATGGCGGAGCAACTTACGGATCAGGCAACACTATCCAAGAATCTGACTCGAGTAGTAAAAACTTCTTGGGATCAAGGCTTACTCAGGAAAAGATTACATACAATGTAAAGAATTAGGAGTTGTCATCACTTATATTATTATATCACCATGTGTAGAATAGTAAATATGTTTTATTTTAGGAACTGAAGCAATAAACTAAACTTTTTATCACTAACATTTTTTTTTCGAAATTTGTATTCCTCCAGATTCCTTGATTAATGATAGAGGTTCTAAATTCCAAATTCCAAAAAAGAGGCTACATCTGCAGATATTAGATGTAACTTTATTTTTAAAGAAAGCTTGTAAAAAATGCCATCGAAGCACACGATATAGTAGAATTGGAATATTTTTTAATTAGTGTGTGTTTGCCGTGCAAAGCAGTAAACTCCGAGTTTCTGTAAGTGCTAAAGGACATTCGTAGTAGTTTATCTCGGATAGCGTAGCGAGAGAGTTTCTGTCTGCCAACTCATACACGGAGAAAACAATATCGTTAGAATGAGGATACTTATCGTTATTATGACTATACGCCGTATAGTCATTTTCTTTAGAGATACGATTTATAGCCAATTCAGCTATACAGCGGATCATCAAAATGACGATCTGTATCATTAGTTTAGGCGTTACATTTAGTTGATTTAACTATACAGATCCTCACTTTAACAAAACAGTTTTGACGAAACTTCATATATTTACAAGAGCTAATCTCTGTATGCTTGAGGGAAACAAATGAATCCTTAAATCAGAAGGATTTTTGAGGATATTTCGAGGATACGTTGAATAGTCATTTTAACAATTTTTTTTTCCATGTAGTTATGTGTTCGATTCCCGGTCGAAAATTCCGATTTGTTGTTACGGTTACTACAAAGTTACCAATGAGTCCAACCTCTTATCCTTCTCCCTCCCTAAAATTTCTTTTGAAAAAACCGACTGTCCATTTTTATGATAGTTGAATTGTACAGTTTACTAACACGTCTTGCACAATTAGCTCTTAGAGTATTAGACTTTTTAAGGCTCTTGCTTGTATTATTTGTTGAATAAAATTTACGGCAGTAGATCGTAAAAAATATTAAATGAGAAGTATAGTCCACCATTACTATTTTGTTTAATAAAAATTACGATAGTAAGATAGTAAAAATCCCTTTAATTTTCTCTCTGTGTATGTTGGTGTGAGTACGCATGAATATGTGCAAGCCCTGCATAATATTAGATAGCTTGACTAATTAAAACACAATTTGCGGCATTCTTAAAGGTTCTATTGCCCTTACAAAGTTTAATGATATTAACTACTTCATGTCGATAGGTTTTGAGAAAAATCAGAATTCAGATTGTCAAAGGAATGTTTTATTAGAATGCCTTCTGAATTATTGTACCAATTAATTCCAAAATTTAATGATATTTTTATGCTTAAAAATTTGAGTTAAATGCGGCAAACTCCAATGAAAATCAGTTGATTCATTCTGCAGAATTGCAATTAAAAATTTTAAAAAAGTTTTTTACCAACACATAACTACTCAATGATGTTAGTTATTAACAATACAGCAGAGTCACTCTGTATTTGACTGGTCCTTTTGTCCCCACTATAGCGATAATAATGTCTTTTATGCGCGAGTCTGCGTGCTTCAATGTGTAGTGAGCAAAAACAGTCTATCACCATAACCTCAAAGTTTCTGTTCTACTACAGTACTGTAGTCTAATAATTGAACTAAAACTATTTAAATATTCCCGCTACTGATTTTTTTTTTGATTGGCCGGATGACAAGGTGTAGTGGGAGATAGGATTGTCAAATACAGAGAACGGTTTGATATAGAGAGGTCAAATACAAAGCGATTTTACTGTACATCTACACGAAAAAAAGAAAAATGATTCAATGTTATACTTACAAAATCTGTAAAAATTACAATTGGAAACTGTTATTTTTCCAGATTTTTATTTATGTAAAGCGCATCGTTACTTATAATATAATTTTTCCCGTTTTTTTTTTTTTCCTCCGTATACGTCACCCAACGTCTAACCTTTTTATCACGACCTTATCAAGTCTAGTCCAGTCTGGTTATTTCAAGCATTTGATTGGCTGAGAAATATTACTACGTCACAAGTTGCTTTATAAGCAACGACAACGATCGATACTTCACAGTTTCGTCTTCAACTTTACGTTAGCAGCACGTACATCAAGATGTTGGCCAAATCCACTATTATCCTTTTCGCCCTTGCTGTTGGCTTATCATGTAAGTATGCGTATTAAAAATATCATTCACATTTCCAAAAAAATTGATTAATAGAGAGGCTAAATTACTGCTTACTTTTTGTAGTAAACTTTAATAATACATGGAATACTCTATTGACTTCCTTAGTTTTGAGTTTGTTAATAATTTTTTTTTTTTTTTAGCATTCTCCAATGAAAAGTCAACTGTATCAGCAAATAAAATTCCCGAAGTGTCAAAATTATCCTTCGACGTCGGAGACAATTTCGATGATTATTACAAATATATCGGTAATTTGTATCGAAACGAAGTAAGAAAAAACCAAATTGGAGCTGAAACACATCAAGACAATAATCACCTTCAACAGGTCAAGTCAACGAGTGAAAATCACATGGGGTCGGATGTTGATCAAAAGAAAATATTCCATGACATAAGTACCAATGTTGTTGATCATTCTTCCGGAGCACTAACTATCCAAGTAGACAATACTTGGCAACAGGTTAACGCTAGTGGTAAGAATTACATGGGATCGCAAGCTCGTCAGAAAAATAACGTCTACGAAAAATGAAAATCTCATAATAGTTTTTAAGGGTGAATTATCATAGAAATATGTTTGTTTGTTTTCTTTTAGAAACTTTGTTTTCAATAACAATCTAAATAAAATGCACTATTAAAAAAGTTCTAAATTGTATGAACAAAAAAAATTATTTATGGCGTAAGATGTATGACTCAAGGAGGTCAAACTAATTAAATAGATAATTGTTTATTAAGTTGCTCAACGTTACCTTGTTCAGCTATCAGCACACAGATTTTTACTGCTTAAGTGTATAATTGAGTAATATAAAACAAATAAATTGATTATTGAACACATCTCTATATCTTTCATTTCAAAATTTCGTTAACGGAAAAAAGAAAAATTACATTAAAAATTACAGTTTCAGATTGTAATTATTACAGATTTCATAAGAATTACATTGTAGAGTGTAATATTTACATTGAAAGCTCTGAAAATTAACATTCAAAGTTTGAATTTAGAAAAATGTTATTTCGAACTGTTATTTCGAAATGTTATTTCGAAAAATGTTATTTCGAAATGTTATTTCGAATCTCCAAAGAAAAACGCATGATAGGAAAATCGTCTCTTTACAAGAGAGTTAAGGTTAGTAAATTAAGTTCTTAGATAAAAATCATCCCTTCAACTTTCCAAAGGAGCTTATCTAAAGTTGAGGTCCAATTTAAACATTACCAAACCAATGCTTGTTAAATATGGCATGTTGAATACGGTACCAGACTAAAAAATTTTGATATCTCAATAAACAGTCTTATATAGCAGTCTATAGCCATTAAGCTATAAAAAGATACACATGTCTACATCAGGTCATATGCTGAAATTGGTCCTACGTCAAAATCCAATATTGCTTTACGATAAGGTAATGATTTCACAGAATTGCTAGATTTCATCAGATTGCTGTTAGTATGGTTTTGATTGTATTCCAGGCTTGAGGGAGAGGGTAGGCTGCATTTATTCCAACTGATAGTTGAGAAAGTGCCTTTCTTCTATAAACTTTTTCGAGCGTAGGAATTTACTACGTTCAGTATGAGCCCTGCAGACAATATTCTGATCAAGATTTATACGGCGGAAGATTAGCTCCACTTATTCCAGCTGCTTGTTGGGATGGTATCCAATTTCCGAAAGAGGGGAACTGCCAATTACCTGCTGGTAATGCTGAAGGCGAAACAATGTACAATATCTACTACTTTGATCTGCATCGTATCGATCCTTGAGAAATTGTAGTATTTACATTATCAATATTGTGATTTTAATTAAGTAGGAAATCTACTTCCATTTTTGCTGCCGAATGTCACTTTTTTTAATGTATAGTCCCATATGACAATTAGCAACAATCAAGCTATAATAAGATACTCATGTCTACGTCGCGTCACGCATGAAAATTAGTTCTACGTAGCAATTTTTCCGCGAAAAAAAAAATTGGTTCTAATTTTTTGTAATAATTACTCAAGTAAGAAACTCATGTTCATCATCGATTAGATGCCAACAAAGTAAACCACATGCTAACATGATCCGCATTGTTTCAATCTATGAGAAATACTGATTTTTTTTGGCGAGAGTTGTGTCTTTTATACGTCATGAATCAATATCAGTGTCACAGCCTGAACAAAGGTCATGATATTATTGATCGTTGATAAATGATTCTGCTGCGAATATTTTGTGTTTATTCCGAGAAATTCCGAAAAACAAGCTGAGATTTCCGGCTCATCAAGACCTTATTGAGTCCAGTTCAGTCTGGTTTTGATTTAAAGTGTTTGATTGGCTGAGAAATACAACTACGTCACACAAGTTGCTTTATAAGCGACAACAGCGATCGATGCTTCATAGTTTCGTCTTCAGCGTTATCGCAGTAGCACATACAGCAAGATGTTCGCTAAATCCACTATTACCCTTTTTGTTCTCGCCGTTGGCTTATCATGTAAGTATACAAATTGAAAATAATGATTATATTTTTTTTCAGAATTTAAAAGATATCTAATAGAGTAGCCTTATGATATTTCAATTTTTAAATATTAAATATAGACAATTTTGTTATTTAAATATTAATGACTAACTTTAAAACTACCCGAGTCGAAATATCAGACCCGTTTAAGCTGTACTTTTTTTCCAACAATTCTTAGAAAATTGAGTGGTCAGGAAAGACTGCTCAGTTAAATACTATATCAACTCGACGCCTGGTTTGACTGTAAATAGTGGAGTTTTGTCCCATTTTGACAAGATTACAGTCTAACCAGGCATTGAATAATAATAACAATTTAAATTATAATTATTATTTTTATTGTACCGTGTAGGGGCGCAGGTTCGAACCCAACTACAGACCGAATTTGTTTTTTTAATAATAATAATAATAATAATAATAATAATAATAATAATAATTTTGTTGCTATTAAAATGATAAAAAAATAATTTTTCGAGTTTTTTTTTTTTTTTTATTTATATCATTTTTAATGTCGAGCTAACACATAATAAGACCGCTTGACTTTTTATTTGGATCTAACTTTCGCTAACTCTAGAAATAAAGTGAAAATCAAGTTCTAACCGAGATTCGAACCCAAGACGCGCTCTCCAGACCGATAACTAACCCCTACACCGTATACGACCGATAAATTGATATACATCTCATCATTATTATAAGCTAAATTTATGCATGGCGAAGTGTAACGGTTCATTATTAAGATAATTTATGTTATTTAATATTGTGTTTTGATAAATATTAACTATTTTTTACAAATGTTTATTAATTAAAAGAATTGCATAACTCAAGTTCTTATAATACTTTAGACTTTGTACATCGTTCTGTACATTTTTAATATTTTATGATAAATTTTAATGTTTAAAATTCTCAATATTAAAAATTCAACTGTAAATTATTATATTGTAATTTTTTTTAGACCATATCAATTTTGACGATATGCAATTTTTCGGTTAAATAATAAATTTTCATTTTTAGCATTCGCTAAAAAATCGCGTTACAAATGCCATAAAGGCATAGAATAAAAATATAATTTTTTTTTAAGTCCAAAAAAAATTTTAAATTTGGTGAAAAATTTTTTTTGCATTTCTGCATATTTCACGAAAAAATATGTCGGTTGCCAAAAAAAATTTTTTCCCTCGGAAATCACCTTATTTTGATCTTGAGAACTTGAGAAACACAAGAAACGTTGAGAAATACAAGAAAAATTTTTTTCAAAATTGAAATTTTTTTGTCTAAAAAAAATTATAGTTTAGAGAAATAGTATATTACACTACAAGGGCAGAAAGTCTTCCAAATAAAATTTTAACTTTGGTGAAAAATTTTTTTTGCATTTCTGCACATTTCACGAAAAAATACGTCGATTCCCAAAAAAAAATTTTTTTCATATGCCCTTATGGCATCCGAGGTGACTCTCGGGAGCCATAAAGGCGTATAAAAAATATTTTTCTCTAAACTAAAATTTTTTTTTAGACAAAAAAAAATTTCAATTTTGAGAAAAATTTTTCTTGTATTTCTCAACGTTTCTTGTGTTTCTCAAGTTCTCAAAATAAAAATAAGTTGATTCCCGAGAAAAAAAATTTTTTTTGGGAACCGACATATTTTTTCATGAAATGTGCAGGAATGCAAAAAAAAAATTTTTCTCTAAATTAAAAATTTCTTTCGGACTTTAAAAAATAATAGAATTTTTATTATACGCCTTTATGGCATCCGAGGTGGGTCCCGGGGCGTATAAAATTTTTTTTCTGCATTTTTGCACATTTCGATGATAATAATGATACACTGTAAAAAGAGCGGTGTTAAAAATGGACTTATTTTAACACCGTGCGGGGTTAAAGTAAAATAACACCGGTGTAACTTTCCGGTGTTGAAATACCGGTGTTAAATCGGTGTAAAACGAAGTAATACCAGTGTAAAAGAGAAGTAACCATTCTATTTAAAATATCAAGATTATAAAATCTATAAAACATAATAAAATTTAGTTTTTAAATTAAATAAATAAATAGAAAATATATTTAAGTAGTATTCATTACACTGGCCCACAAAAAAAAAGTGGTCTATACTTTTAACCAGACCTATCTTTATGTATTTTGACGCGCTAAATCCGAATCTGAAGTCAGTATTGCCCGTACACCCTCAAAATTATGAGTAAAATGCAAAAAAAAACCCAAAAAATTGCGAAAAACTGCAGTCACAGCGATGAATAAATTTTTGTGAACCCAGATCAAGTATGATTTTCATGTACGTCAATTCACTAAATCTAAATCTAAACATTAAGTAGCCCCTTGATTCGTCAAAATTTGGAAAAATTGCAAAAAACCGAAAAAAAGGCAAGAAATCATGAAAAATCGAAATTATCGAGATGAAAAAAATTTTTTGGATTCAGATTGAGTATGATTTTTATGTACTTTGTTCCACTGAATTTGAATCTGAAGTTTTCTTGTCCTATTGACGTTTTAAAATTAAAAAAAAATCTCAAAAAATAAAAAAAATCGAGAAAATTGCAGTTTTAAATATGAGAAAAAAATCTATTAATCAAAGGCGACTGCGTGGCCGAGCGGTTTAAGTCTTAAACTGCCCGTACAACAGTCGCTCAGGCGTGGGTTCGAGCCCTGGCAGTCGCAATTTTTCTGCGATTTCCAAGGCTTGCTCCCGTGCCGACTGTATCCTGGCCAGATTTCTGTGGTTTCCTTGGTCACTGTGCTAAGGGTGGGGCACAGGTAAATGCGAGTACAGGTTGTAAGTCGGCCACAGCCGCAGAAAAAAGAAATAATAGTATTGATAAATAGTAAAGCTTAATAAATTGTTATAGAATATATATTCTCACACAATTACTATAAAAAAAAAAAAATATCATTAAAATTATATAAATCTTACATTTCTATACTAAAGATATTTTCATACTTTTTTTTTCATCAATTTCGCTCCTTTAACGATAGCTTGGTTTCTTTGATAAATTTTTTAAATCAAAATGCCACAAAACTCGAAGTCGTGATGTCTAGACAGTGTTTAGTGTCTATGATTT